GAGTTCCCACCCGTGAACTCGTACTAGATCGATGTACTTCCAGTTACGAGCTCTGACGTCACATAGCCCGCGAAACCATACAAAACAGCAATGGTTTGTTTACATCTAGCTACCACAATTCCTTGCGCTCAGGTAGTTTGGCGTGACTGGCTTGGAACGCAACAAAGTCGTGAGTCGTAGTTTGAAGTCGTGATTTACGTGCTCAAAACCCTGCCTGGAACGCAGCAAAAGCTTAGCTACAATTGTATTATCCAGGTCTATTAGTAAAACTTCTCAAAAATCAGACTAATATGATAACACTTTTTAAAATGTCAAATTATTGCTTTCGTCTGACACAGAATTTTAAAATGTATTTTGACTGCACACCATAAAATCTGAATCATTAGAGAGATATAGGTAGGCGGGAAGAAAAATAGACAACTCTTTTGCAATCTCAGATGATGACTTGACAGTGATTCAAAGTCTATACTAAACCCAGACAGTGCTTGATTTTGACCTGTCTAGTCACTGGCAGAGGCAGCGTACAGGAAATGCCCAGAACAATGGGTTGGTTTATGATGTCATACTAATACCAACACAGTGGTGACTTATGAATGCAGTCTGCTCGCCGATCCCTGCCATTATACGGGCTGGTCGATAATCCAGTGGAAACCAAACAGCTGACGAGATCAATTAAGTTATAAAACTTTATATCAGCAAAAGGATCACACAGAGTGACAGGCACTTTCCATTGTGGGTCAAAAGTATGTACCACCAACAGTGACTAATGGAGCTTGTTGACTGGTTCAGCAGGGGCCACTGAGGTCAAAACTGTTGGAGGGGAAGGGATGTGTCAGAGTAGCCAAGCCTCCACAGATGCACTGCATATCTGTGTAAGATAACTTTTTGACAGCTTATTTATCCTGACGTGGGATATTTCAACGCATGCCTGAGCATAAGCATGTACTGATAGACCTGTTAACACTTAAAGGACAAGTTCGGTATTTCACACTTAAAGCCCTGTTTTAAGATCGTTTCTGATGAAATAGAACAGTTAAGATTGAAATTTGGACAGATGCTGCTGGCCCGAGAATTTTCGGTTTCTGTGGTTGCTGAAAATTCTCGGGCCAGCAGCATGTGTCCAAATTTTAATCTTAACTGTTCTATTTCATCAGAAATGCTCTTAAAACAGGGCTTTAAGTGTAAAATACCGAACTTGTCCTTTAAAAGAGAGGCCGGTAGAACAGGTTTGATGTTGAATGCCAAGGTGTTTCCCTCAGAGTAAAGTCAGTAAGTGAGGACATCACCACTGACAAAATTCAGGTTGTTGAATCTAAAATGCAGCACAAAGCTTTGAGGGTGTACAAGGATATTTATTTGCCTAAACCTGCAAATCTCCCAGTAGATAAGTAGGATCTTAGAACATTATCTCAGTCTCTGAAGACATTGCAATGTTACCACTCACTCTACAGCTTCAGGGGAGCTTTCTCTGGTGTCGTCAACAAGGTTGCGTTTGCCCATTACTTTGGTGTCCTGGAGCTTTACCAATTGCAGAAAAAGAGCAGAAAGGTCTGTGCTGTCAGAAGATACACTGTGAGAAAGCAGCTGTGTTCCTCAGGGTATTACATAATGCACATTTCAGTGTTCACTGCCCAGAGAAAGTTTGAATGCCTTCAGCTGGAGCAAGCTCAATGTGGATAGAGAAGGAATGTAATAAAAGCATGGATGGAAGCTAGAGCAGGCCAACTGCCTGCACCATAGGCTGCAGGGGGAAATTAGTAAGAAAGCGTAGGGGCAAGGATGTTAGGCTCCTGCAGTCAGGTGTGGAACCTCCACTGGAGCACTGACGTAGCCTGACTGAATTGAAATACATTTTTAATGTTATCTTGTTATCTTGTAGCCTCTTTCTCAACCCCCATCCACCGACCTAACTATCCAGCCCTTTGTTTCGAAAAGTTACTGGGCTGTGAAATGCAAAAACTCACAGCACAGAATATGCATGCAGTGCGATTCATTATCTTGTCAAACTGGGCTTCTCTGGGACAGACCAGTCTCAACATTTGAGCGCTGCACCGCCTTCATCTCAGATAGCTGCTTCCTGCTGCTTCTCTCAGGGGCTTACGTGACCCTGCTCAGACGTGTTCCAGTTCTACTGACTGTGATGTGTTTGTATGGGTCAGTCGTCTGCCCTCCAGCTGCCAGTGAGCTTTGAGAAGTTCACCACTTCTCAGATTATTTTTCTCAACCTTTAGCATGAAAGCTATTGATAAAACAGGGGAAAAAAGAGTAGGTCTTAGGTTTTGCTGGGATTATCAGGACAGCCAAGTATCACGGGTTCAGACTGCAACACTTAGAATAGTAGTCCTAGGTTTGGGATGGATGCGCAACAATTAGACCCTGCTTCAGAAATTTGAATGAAGTCATTTGGAGTTACTGATGGCAATGAAAACTTTCTGAACAAAACACTTGACGACGAGAAGAAGAGTGCTGTAAGGACAGGTCTGCCAGACTTTGTAGACAAAGAGACAGAGAGTGACCCATTTTTGCTGTGACCCACAAAAAGGCCTTCTTGTCAGAGGAGGACACACCAACAAAGGCCCACGTGGTGCGCTAGCTGATGGAGGACAGATGGATGGATGGATGCAGACAAACAGACTCAGCCCCCCAACCCGTCTCTTAGGTGATCCTTACTAATTGGCCAGGCTGCCTTGACTGCCTCTAATGGTGGTGTTTACTGCCTCTGCCTCATTCCCCAGGCCACTCCACCTGCTCTTGCAGCCTCCAGTGATGAGCTCTGAGAGTCTTACTGGGTGGCACTGCTTGGGGAGGGGGGTTAGAGCCAACAGGGGCTCTCTTGTTGCACAAACAGCCGCTCTTTGAATTAACCTTGCTTGCGGGTCATCGCCAAAATAATCCCTCCCTTCTCTACCCTTAGAAAGGTTGGCGAGTTGTGATTACAGCAAGCCGCCCTCTCTGTCTTTTCCCTCTGTTTTTTTCTCTCTCTTCTGTGTCTCTTCTTGACAGTGAGAGATAGCGTCTTTGTTCAAGTTGGGGGAGACAGTGCCAGCAGTCTGCGTTCCTCATGGGGAATAGATGCAGTGCACGTCAGGACTTCATCACGTTCGGTGGACAACCTCTCGTCATCCCCGAGCACATCACCTCATTCACTCTCCCCTCCGTGACCCTTGCGCCCCATCCCTGGTCGAAGCCTGAGCCCTGAAACTCAATTCACCCATATCACATCCATTAAGGTCTGATTCATGCTCCACTCGCAAGGGGCCGAGCACAGCTATCCATCTTGTCTCCTTCTCAAAGGGTGCTGTTTACCTTGCACTGGCAGATCTAGGGCTACACTTTAAAACTATACCAACTTGTAAAAGAATCAAACTTTAACTATGATGTTACTCAAAGAAAAAAACCTGTCTACAGATATAGGCCTTTTTCTCTTCATGCTTATTTTCTTGCCATCAGATTCAACTTTATTTTTTCTGATTCCATGTGGTTGTTCCCCTTCTCTTCTGATGCGAGCTGATACTCACTCTCTGTCTTTAAACTCTCTTTGCCAGTGGCATAATATTATATATATATATATATATATATATATATATATATATATATATATATATATATATATATAAAATTGTGATCCATATGTCCTTGGACCCGTCAATTTACACTGCAGAGAATAAATGCGCCGTGTACACATGCATGCTATTATTTGATATGACCATGATGCTTTAAGTTAATTAATGCCAGAATTAGCAGATGAGCCAGACCTGTCTGTCTTCCTGCACAATATATTTTTTCTCTTTTCTAATCTTCGAGATGAGATTACCAGACCTGTATTTTCCTTCTATACTCATGCCAATACGTCTGTATTTGCATTTGCTACCAGATAATATTTGTATTAGACGTGCCGGTTGAATTGCTGGTGGGGGTAGATATGTTTCAAGTTCACACACCAGCAATAAATAACCACTCACTGCATTTCCCTGCAGTTGAGTACATGGAATTGCAATGAGCTGAAGACAGCCAGTGCATGCGTGCAGGGGCGCCCATCACCACATTGATTACCAGAAGTCCTTCTAACCTCAAATCATACATCTTATCATTAAATTGCTGCCGTTTAATTTATAAAACTTCCAAATCCTGGTGCTATTATTACTTTATTTGCTGCTAAAACAATTATTGCCCAAGAACACAAAGCAAATGATTTGCATTGATCACATTAAGACCTCATCACTTAAAAACATGTTCCAATGGCACATATGTGCATTATCTCCAGCTTTTCCAGAAGGCTTAAGTGGGATATCATAAAAATGTAAAACACCACTATTATCATTGATTACCTCTCCCCTTCAAGAGTCAGCAAATTGTCATACAGATGCACACCAGCTCTCAGGAGTGGGTGATTTGGATGCATTCTCCTCACATCCACTCACGCGCGCACCCTCGCGGCGGAGGTAATAAATAATACATGAAGATCGGGAACTGCTCTTGATATCGTCGGCTGAAAAACACGAAGTTATCTGACAGACGAATGCATTATTTAATAACAATTCGCTTATTGTTAGCCAAGCCCTTATTTTCTCTGGCCACATTACGTGCGCCTTAACAAAACGCCATTCAGTCAGTTCCAGTAGTAGACTATAGTGCACATGAATCATCTCGTGTCTTATTCTGTCATTGACATCTGTTTTGCTTTGAGTATACAACAGAGAAGTGTACTAAATATGCGTCTCACTCCTTAAAGCATATTATAGATTATTCTGAACTAATAATAATCACTTTCGCTCGGATAAATAAAAAGACCGGAGTTCTAGCCATGCTTTAGTATGAAAGGAGCAAAACAGCGCTTTCGTCATCAATATAAACCACTAATAATGTGTACAAGGAAACGGCGTGTTTAGACATACGCGAGCACTGTGAAGTTGTGAATGTTTGCATTAGATCCATGTGCGCAAATACGCACGGCTTATTTATGTGAACTAACAGTCCAATAGTTACGCGCAAACTCTCACCTGCTGCCAGTTCTCCTCCAGCGATGGCATCGCCGAGAAGTAGCCCGTGTCGTGCACCAGCTGAAGTTCCTGAAAAATACTGTAATTTGCCAACACGTCCATGTTGATGGTCACAAGAAGAAAAAAAGTGTTGCTTGATCCTCTGGTATAATTTTTCTTCTCAGCCCACTGCCAAACGCAAAAAGAATGTTTCAAATCCTCAGTGAAGTGTAGTTTAAAGCTGGTAATTTAAGCGCTATGAGGAAAAGGAAGGAAAAAATAAAAATAATTCTTGTCACTTAATTGCAATCCCCGCGAACTCTCAGATCCTCAGCCTGGGAGTGGGATGCAAAATCGGTGACATGGACTGTCCACCTATTTCCGCATTGCCTCTGTCTCTTTTGCGCTATAAATTCCAGGTAGCCTTTATCTTGAATGCCGTGGATCACCAAGGCAAGTTGCTGGGCTCGCTGTCTCGCGAGCGAGAGGAAGCCAAGGGAACTAGAGGGGGCGTGGTTTGTTGTCAATCAATTCCGTGCGTGACCATATACGGTAAATAGGGTTGATGATCTCACTGGCGTCTAAGTAAGGCGGTGCTAAAATGGCCAAATAGGAGGAGTACAATTTGAATAGTATAGCGTGATTGGCTCAGGACGCTTGTCAATCGGGCCGTAGAAGGCAGTGAAAGGTGAGCTATTTTTAGAGAGCTATATAGCAGCGGCAGCGCGCTGGCGTCTCTCATACGGCCAGGGAGAACGCAACAAACAGAAGTAGAAGTTGCAGTTGAAACGTGAGGCAATTCTACCTCTTAAGTCATATCAGTTGGAAATTATACACGGGTAACCACAGATCTGCCGATAAAGTTGGAAACAGTTGTTCAGAAAATTTGATGTTGTTGTGCTGTACTATAGGCTAATATTGAGGCACAGGCAAGTGCTGAAAAAAAAAAAAATCTGTGAAGATCCTCTCAGATGTTCCAAAATCACTTGGATTGAGTGGTTCACAGACAGGATGAGGGATACTTTAAATATTAGAATTTTGAAATAAGAGGCTTGGCACTTTGAAATGAGAGTTTTAGCTTTTCTGATGGCACAATTACCACAAAGAGCATCTATAATTGCAACTATTACAGCAATTGATGGCATTGATTTGCAGTAATGATCTGGCTATTGTTGTGTAAAGGGTAATTGACTCTTCAGGATGTTTTTCGCAAGCCAGAAACACTTCTATAAGCTGTTAATTCCTGAAAACCATATAACAGAAACCTAAAAAAGAATAATGTTTCTGAATAATGACCGTTTCCCCTGGCAAACCTGTATAAGTGACCACTCATTTATCCATAATCCATCCATCCATCCATCCATCCATCCATCCATCCATCCATCCATCCATCCATCCATCCATCCATCCATCCATCCATCCATCCATCCATCCATCCATCCATCCATCCATCCCTCTCTCTCTCTCTCTCTCTCTCTCTCTCTCTCTCTCTCTCTCTCTCTCTCTCTCTCTCTCTCTCTCTCTCTCTCTCTCTCTCTCTCTCTCTCTCTCTCTCTCTCTCTCTCTCTCTCTCTCTCCTGATCAACTGTCTGGCATTTTCCCCTGATAATGGCTGACTGTGTACTATCCTTTATTTATTTAGAAATATGGATAAACCATCTTTAATTGACAACACTGAGAGCATGGAGATTAGTTCTCCTATTTTGTTGTTTTGTAAAATTTATTTTGCTCTCTGAAGTCTCATTTACACAGATGAATAGATTTTGACAATTATTGTTTTGTGCATTAAAATATTATAAAAACAAAAAAACAAACTATAAACAGACTTGTGATGTTGAATTCTGACAGAACATACAAGTGTGGGATAACATACTTCACAAGTCAGATCTTTTTTTTTTAGCTTTATACATGACGATATACAACTCAACTATGTACAATGAGACAAAAAAATAAATATATATACCTCATTTATATAAATATATACACACTCCTGGGCAAAAAATAGACAAAATGTATGTTTTTTTTAATGGTCTTTACCATTTTGATTACAAATCACTGGTCAATTAGCAAGAATTTCACAAATACTGTAGAGCAATGTAGCATGGAATAGCCTTCCATGTTGTTTTCTTAAATATTTAAACCGTGTGGGCAAACTTGTGGACAGCTTTTTACAGGAAGAAAAGTCAGTGCTGTTCCAACCAATATTAATGGCTTCAAACAATTCATGAGTAGTTGAAAAATGTCTCCCAGTTCGTTTGAGTTTAATGTGAGACCAAATATTCACTATGGTTCTAATCTGGACTCTGAACAGGCCAAAACATGAGCCTGATGGACTTCTTCTCAAGCCACTTCTTGGTTGGCTTTACAATTTGGGCAGGAGCATTGTTTTGTTGAAAAATAACATCTGATCATCTTTTGATGACAACTTTTCCTTTGAAAGCAAGCCATTCTGCAATATTCTCCTGTACTCCAAAGCTTTAAATGAGTTTTCACAGTGAAGCAGCTCACCAATACTAGCAGCTAAAAAGGCTCCCCACACAATGACACAGTCTCTTCCTCCATGCTTCACTGTGGGAGAGTTGCATTTATTATTATATACTAACCAGACGCTCGAAGACATCGTTCTGATGCTCTAGTTTATCACCATGCAACTCGTGTTTCATTTTGATTCATCACCAACTTCCCAAATTCTGCCAAAAACTTCATTCTGTCTTTGATGTTTTTCTGAGACAGCAATGGCTTTTTAAGTAGTAAATTTGATTAAATTTAGCTAATTTCCTGATCAATACTTTATGGTTAAGACAATTTAAAGGCCAGTGTTTAGCCAATTTTTTTTTCTTTTTAATGTTTTGCCCAGGAGTGTGTGTATGTATGTATGTATATATATATATATATATATATATATATATATATATAATTTTACAACACATACAGAGAGAGAGAGAGAGAGAGAGAGAGAGAGAGAGAGAGAGAGAGAGAGAGAGAGAGAGAGAGAGAGAGAGAGAGAGAGAGAGAGAGAGAGAGAGAGAGAGAGAGAAAGAGAGCGAGAGAGATACACAAGATGTGTCCCACTGAAAACTCACCTAATTTTCTTTCAGTTGTAGTCATCTAGAAACCAGATTTTCTTTGTTGTGGGTCTGGTATTTTTGGTGTGTTTTAAAGGGGACGATGACAAATCAACAGTACTGATTTTGCTTGTTTTACTGTTTCATTTTAAAATGAATTAGTAACATATGGCAATTACATTTATTTGTGGACTGAGTGAGAGAAAATGCCTTGATAAAGAATAATTTAATTACGTTTGATGAACAAAACAAATGCTACATTCAATCAGTTATTAAGTTTTGATAGCATAACAACCTGCCAAAACACAGGTTTATTGTTCACTTAAAATATGAACATTTTAAATTAGTTCTGCTCTTGTTAGCTACAGTTTGTCAGAAAGATTGCTTGAAATTTGAAACTGCAAACACACCAACCTTGTTGTCACAAACACCAAATAAAATGTTTAGATAATTGTAAACTACCTCAGTTGCAATTAGTGACAGGCAGTAGAAAAGTGTAAGCCTGATTTTGCAATGCGAAAGAGTGTTTTAGTTGCAGTGAGTAATTGAGTTTGTATGTGCGTTGTGCTGTCTGTGTCTTCCATCACTTTCCCAAGGGACATTGGTTTTTGTCTCAGTGGAGTACCGGGGCAGATGGTTGCTAGATTGACTGTTTCAGGACATTTTCCCAATTGATTTTTACAGGTCTCCCTGCCAGAGAGAATTAGCCTGAGTGGGGGTTGGATGGAGGGGTGGAAGCTGCTCTACAAGACACGCTAGCTCTCTCTATCAAAAATATACACTGAAAGATTTGCAGCTGAATGTCGAAGTGCATGTGATTTCCTGAGCTACAGACACACACAGCAGATCAGATCCGGGGGGACATGGCTTAGTCCTGCCTCTTCCTTATTGGCCAGAGCGCACTACCGAGGGACAGAGGATGCTGGAAAGAAAAAGCAGGTGTGTGCATTGGTGTTATTGCATGGCGGGTTAAGGGCAGGTGCGAGTCTGCCAGGCTCGGTGGCACAGCTGGGCAGGGTAAGCCCTGATGACTGGCTCATCACTCCCTCCTATGGCTAACCCGCTGTCTCACCAAGTCTGAAACAGCTGGTTCCCACTGAGCCTAGCCCTGACCCGGGGCAAACCCTGCAACTTCCAAACTGGGCCATGGACACAGAATAAAACACAGGGTGCCCCAGTTCCTACCTCACACATTTACTATTGAGGCTGAAGTGTTAAATTTTAAAGGCTGTATGACGTCAAAAGGGGAATAATATGTTATGCTTAGACACAACTGCATGTAATATCATGAATCTTACATGTAGTTGTGTCTAAGCATAAGAAATGACTCTTCTTGACTTCATACACAGAAATGAAAAGGACAGTTCACCCCAAAATGGGAATAAAAAAAAAGAATAATAAAAAAAACACATTACTTACTTGTATTGTTCCAATCCTTAATGACTTTTTACACAAAAGAAGAATGCTCACACTGCTCTTTAACCATTCCCAAAATATACTCTGAATTGATTTGTTTTCCAATTTTTACTTGCTGTGGCAACATTTTCACTGGCCCATTATATAAAACAATAATAATGAATGAATAAATAATAAATAAATATACTAAGTAATACCTTTTTATTTTTGCTGTGTTAGATTTCTTTGTTAAATGTTGTTTTCTTTTATTTTTTCTTCACAAATATATTTGTTTCTTTTCAAAAAGAAAATTAGCAACAAGCTAAAATTACACAGCTATTATGTAGCCTAACTGCATAGTTTCAGAAATGCACTGTTGGAAAATGGCATATCATGGAAAACATCACCGATTGGTTTGTATTTTCACCACAATCAAACTGATATTTCAAGATTATTACGAGTTTTAGCGATTTTGGCAAAACCTAATTTATGTTGGCCGTCTACATTATCTCTGTGACATTTGCAGGCAGAATCTGCAACAACAATGCAGACAACATCTGAACGTTTAAGGTTGCAAAGCATTGAAATGGATTTACAAGATCAATGAACAATGTTATTGCTAAGTCTTAAATAATTTAAGAGCTATCTTATGGCTTCAGAAGACTTGGAATGCTACACACTAGTCGTATGGATTACTTTTATGGTGCTTTTGTGTATCTAGGCAGCCCCTGGTCATGCTTTTGTTGAATGGAAAAGAGTAGCATGAACGTTCTTGGAACATAAAAGGAGACAGTTTAAAGAAAGAGAGAAGGAAAGAAAGAAAAAGTCATGCGGGGTTGGAGCGACATGAGGGTGAGAAAACAATGTTAGAATTGTATTTTTAAATTGAACTGTTCTTTTAAAAAGTGTGTTTAACCAAGACATTACCAGTGTCTCTGATTTGTGGTTGTTAGTCCTGCTTTGCATTGTCCTAAATTAGACGTGTTTCTGTGTTATGGTTTTTCCCTCACCACCAAGGTGACATCATGTGA